ATATGCATACATCGCTATTACAACATAAAACAACTAAATATTGTAGATTTTCGCTTCAATAACTTTATGCTGCGTTCCAACAACAACGACGAGAACGACAACAACAACAAACAAAATATCAACACTGGCGTTGGACATTAAATTGAATTGTTCTTCGAAACATTACGTTATACAATATCTCTCATGATGCTGTTAAATTGAAAAAAAAAAAAAAAAAAAAAAAACAGCTAAAGCGACATGTATATCAGTTAAATTAAACCTTGAGTGCAGAGAGTTGATCATTCAATTAAATTTCCTGCATTTTTTTTTTATTGCCTTTTTTGCCCCTTCCTATGCACCTAGTGGCTGTCATTTTACTGTTTTCATTATGCAACTTTCAAGGCTTTTTATCGAGTTAAAGTATTTTTTTATTTTTTTATAGACTGGCAAAGAACTAATGGAAAAATTCCTTTTATTTCTGATTTTATAACAGCCGCAGTATTTACAGGTTCCAGCAAGTTTTATAGACTTATTTAAATTAAAGAAATTTTATTCCAAACCGAACTTCGGATACCAGTCACTTTAGAAAGGATGCCAGCTGGCCGATTGAAAGTATGTTTCTCTTACAATCTTCGACGAGCATGATATTCGAGCCGAAGCCGAAATATTTCACTTTTTGTGTACTTGGTTTCTTCTTTAAATCGTTCCATATTTGCTATTGAAGCACTCAGATATTTAAAACTGAATTGCAGGAGTTCACTCATCTAAGCATATCAATTTTCAACCTTGTGTCCCAATTTCAGCACAATTCTCCGACAACAGAAGGTAGTCTGTCGGAGGGATCAGGTAAACCTTCTTCTAAAGTTCTTTTTGTTCTAGCTTTTTAGCTGCAACACAGAACGGATTGTAGCCTGACGTAGGAAGCATAAAAAATAACGTCCTTCTAAAATGCTTTTTTATAGTGTAAATAATCTGCAGCAACATAAGATAATCTAACGGATGAACATGGTTTAATTCCTCCTAAATTGCTTTTCGTCCTAATTATTTAATGGTTGGGGAGCCTGCAAAAGGTAGTCTGACGGAAAACATGCTTTAATTCCTCATGATTTACTTCCCATCCTAATTATTTAAGGGGTGGGTAAATAGCGACAACAAATGTTAATCAGACGGACCGACGTTGTTGAAATGCTTTTTCAATTCTTTCTCTCGTAACATCTTGAGGTTCAGAGAGCCTGCGAAAACATACATAGCCTGACGGGGAGGCCAAGTTAAGCTCCTTCTAAAATACTTTTTTCTTTAAATTTTTTAAGGTTTGAGGATCTTGCGATAATAGAACAAAGTCTGACGGATGGACATGGTCCGATTTCAAATTCCCTTTCCGTCCTGTTCTTTTACCTATTATTATTATTATTATTATTATTATTTATTTATTTGAGAGTTATTTAATCTCCTTTAACGAAGGATGAATGAGCAGACTATTCTATTTGAAGGAAAGATAGAAGAATGAACGGTTAGACTGACCCAACGGAGCAAAATGAAAAATAGGCTCAGGTTTTTCCTAACGTGTCATGCCGTCTATCTGTTTGAAACTGTATGACAATCTCAGTTTGCTTCTATCTAATGCTAGCATATGCAATAACTAAAACTGATATTAAAAAACGTATATGAATTTGAAAATGCCATCTTTGGATGGAGGATGAAATAAGGTTTTCTTCTTATCATCCCAGGTAAGCTTGTTATTTATTTATAAATTTTAATAACAACATAGACTGGCGTTTGCTTTTGCTCTTTATTTAAAGGGTATTAAGGACCGTTGCGGTATACATTTTTTATATCTAAAATTAAATATATAAATAGAATATGTAAAGAGCAGGCTAACAATTTAAGTAAAAGGTTCTTCTCTTTCGCACACATGTGTATTACATATGAATGAACATATGCACCCAGACACTGCACACAAACAATGTTTGGAAAGTGTAATCTTTTCAATGAAAACAAACTTTTACCGATAACATGTTATACACATGCACAAGTATTTTATAGCGCTATAATCATGTAACTATATATACTTACAAATACTATGCTGTATTACCTTTCCATCGTGTTTGTAAAAAGTTAATCAATTGAAAATCTAATAATAAATATAAAAGAAAATTTTAAACGTATATAGGTGCAAAGAAGAAGAATGGATGTAATATTGATTTCCTCCTTTCTCTGGCTGCCTCAGAGGGTGAAGGCTTAAAGGGAATTCTTTGCATATACTTTACGCCGTAGCATAGCTGAGAAGCATTGTAGGTCATCACAAAGATCGGATGACATGAAAGTGAGTGAAAATTTAAATAGATTTGCAACAGCGCAGCTCAGTTACGTCACTACTTCATATGTTTTATAGGAATTAAGGATTATTCAAGCGAAAGCATTAGTTAACACATTTGAATAACAAAATTATAAATACTTAGGATATGGTGGAGTTAGTGGCTTCACAAACAGCTGACAAATAATAAAAGCAAAGTAAAACGGGTGGAAATTCATATAGGAATGATTTCAATAAATTGCTGCTAGACCTAAATTAAGAACTTTTCAACTGACGAAAGCAAACATTCTTCGTTCGTTCGTCGGGTTTGTCGAATAATAACACAATTTTTAAAATTTCCCTACAAAACTTGCGCTGTAACCGTATTTAGGCATTCTAAATTGATATAAACACTTTGGTTAAGCTAGGACAGGTTTTTGAATCCTCTCTCATATAACCAAATCTTCATATCACATCTTTATATGGCAAAAAGATGTAATTTCCAATGTTTCATGGTGAAAATTGAGTCATAACAGTAAATCGACAAAGAAGTCAACCTTATCCGAATTTGGACCACGTAGATGAATTTCTTGGATACCGCCGTATAGTAAAATTCTTAGGAAACGTAGATCCTCACATGCCAAAAAGGCCTAATTGATAATGTTTTATGACGAAAATTTCTTCATGATATTAAGTTGACATAAAAATTAAGTGGACCAATTGTGGAACACATAAGTCTATTTCTTCGACTACACTGCATATAAGATTTTTCTTGAATAGTAAGCCGCCTTAAGAATAAGGCTTCATTTTTAATATCTTATAACGAAAATGGATCTATAGTAATTAAATAACGAAAAAAAATTGACAACAAGAATTTGGTTCACCTAAGTCTATTTTTTAGACCTTAATACATATATAGAAATTACCAGGAAAATCAAGCCCTCATATGGAGGAAACGTATAATTTCTAGGATTTTATGACGAAAACTGAAAACTAATAACATTTTTGGGAAGTAAATTAATTTGCTAAATTTGCATCACATCTTATGACGTTCTGGGCATCCGCCAAGACACGGGCTTTGATAAAAATTATACCTTTGCATGAACATAATATGTAATTTTTGATATATTATTGCCAAAACGAACAAATGACTGTACTAGGCGGGTATGGTATTTGACAGTCGGCCTGTGGATATGCACTACCTCAAGCGAATATATAACACTGGCAAGGTTTGTAAGTACATCAAAGCAGTAATCGGAGCTTTATGTGGCTTTGACAAATGACTATAACCTGTTTAGGATCGGCTTCTAAGCTAAAAAGTCAATTAAAAGAAAGCTTCGATATTTTCGGTGCAAGGGACATTTTAATACTTCCTAGCAGCTTTTGGAAGTCTCGACTCTAATGGGCAGAAAATTATTTTTATTGGTTACATTGATCAAGAATACACATGATCTGCAAAATTCACAAATGTGTTTTTGTTTACATCTGCTGTCTGTCGCAAACATCTGCTGTGTTAACTGATCTTCTTAACTGAATATGAAAATGGTGCAATTGATAAACGTCAACCAATTTGCCCTAAGACGTCTGCTTTCTTTATTTTTCTCTTTTTCTTATAAGATCTGGAAATTTTTTGGTTCAGTTTGGTTTTCATATCAAGACATCACATAAATTATATTTAATGGAATGTTGGTAAATTCGATTAGTTACAACTTTCATTGGTAATGTTTAATCGTTGGTCAAGAGATGACACAACCAATTAACCGCAGTGGTAATGAAAATGTCAAAAAAAATAATGGGGAGAATATTAAACCCTACAAACACTGAGAGAAATGAAAGTAAGACTGTGAAGATGGGTAATTTTAAGAAGTCTAGGTAAAAGTTTTTACACTAGAATTAAGTAGATCTATAAATTATTGCTCGATGTTAATATGGATTTTTTTTTTTGTGTTAAAAAACTGTACAGGCTGTCTGTCTTGTTCGCCTCACCAACAATTGCATCTATCCCGTTTCAATATGTTCCAGCTGACAAAGATGGTGATTTAAATTGAACTCGACAGGGCTAAGATGTATTGGTTGCTTTCGCAAATGCGACAGAAACCACAAAGTGAATAAGTTTTTTGCTATATGACCAGGATGGAACCAGGGAACAGTGTTTGTGTGCGTCTGATTTAAAAATGGAGTCCTAAGGCACGGCGGGAGGTACGCTTGGTTGGTAGATTGTTGCAAAGGGGCGCACTGTGATTGAAAAATGACAAGTAGGTCATGCAACATACAAACACTTCCAAGACGAGTGAGTGGGAACGCTGAGAAAGCTTTGTAACCCCTTTATATATAAAAAAAAAAAAATACTGACCCATCGATCGTATAACCGACGAAAGCTCAGAACATCCGCAAAATGACGGTTGCTTTGCTTAAGGTCAAATCACACGAGACATAAAACCTTAATAACCAATTTGTTTATTTTCGAGCTTAGACGTTTAAAGTTCTTGTTAAAATATTTTTAAAGTGTATATTTTTAAAACTCTTAAATTTTTCCCTAATTGAGTTTTTTTTTGGCAATTTTTTACCATCCGAAGGCTTAAAAAATTTATTATTTATTGAGCCGACTTTATCGAATATAATATAACCAAATTTATTATGCACGCGTATAGTTCCCTTCCTTCTTTTTTTTTTTTTCTTACTCTTTATTGATTAAATTTTTTCCTTATTTTACCTTTGTTTCTTGCAGAAATCGAAGCTGTCGAGGCATGTAAATGGTTAAGAGCTGCCGGCTTTCCACAGTACGCTCAAATGTATGAAGGTATGTATAAATAGGGAGGAAGAATAACGAGAAAACAAAAAAAAAAAAAATAAATAAATAATAATACTACAAATCAAATATGTGAACAAGTTGTAAACAGTTGTATAACAAATTATTGGAGAAGATATCAAGGAAACTTCTCTCTTCATCTTGATACTTGGTGATACTTGGTGGATGGAGAAAAGTTTAAATAAACATTGATTTCTTTAAACTATTTCCTTGCATTACTTTAAATAACAAATCGATCGATTTAAAAGTAGGTTTTTTTCTTTACGTACGCAAAGCAAATCTTATAAAATATGAAATAAAATATTTTTCTTTCTACTTAACTGTATACTGACAAGTTTTATATAACTGTTAACTGGCAATATTGATTTATTATGTAGAGAGAGTAACCGCGATGCGTACTTTCACTTGCAAATGTTTCGTACAGATTTCCTTGTAATTCTATCAATTTCTGATTAAAGTATTTATAAATGAAAATATATATATATATGTATTCTTTTACGACCTTGAATGCAGAAATGGACAAGTCGTATTGTAACAATTTCATAGCACAGTTTCAAATGACTTAACAGTCTTTATTTGATACACGACCTAATTTAATAGCATACTTTTAAATGACAATTATTGCAAGATCTGTTTTATCTACTGTCAGGCGCGAAATAAACGTAATTCTTATATAAAAGAAAAAAATCCTATACATTATAACATTATAAGTAAAAACGTAGTACAGTTTTTCATATAATGGCTTTCTGGTCGGTCTGATCCGAACTATTTGCGATAGCGCTCGACGTTGGGCCCGAGCGCGCCCGTGTAACAAATTGCATCAGAATATACGAAAAACTACGACCAGTGTGTCGAATACAAAAAATCAAGGCGGACAGACGAACAGAGAAGCTTAAATTTGGAATTGTTTTCTGAATCGACCGATACAACAAAATTCCGCATTAGCTCAATATATCCTTATACCACAAGTGATGTAGGATATAAAAAACAAGTGAAGCCATCACTAGTTTTTCTTTTTCTTTTTTTTTTTTTTGATTGTACGAGCGAGAAAGAAGACATAAAATTTCCCTCAAGAATTCGGATGTGTGCTAGGTGTAAGCATAGCTGATAACTATAACATCGGAAGCGATAAAGTCCTTATAAACGTGTCTTCAATTTCGCTGCAGGAATAAAATATGCGGTGAAGATTCCATAAAGTGCATTCATCACCCAGAATAATCTGTCTGTTTTACCGGATCAGATCATGATTACAACCTCCTAGCTTTGAACTTAAATTTTTTCTTATCACTAGAATAAATTGCTGAAAATTCTCTAAAATGTAAAGTTTACAATTTTAAGCTAACCTTAAAAAGGCTATAATTTAGATATCCAAGCTTTATTCTCCAACTTTTCACTTAATAAAATACTAAGGCCAGTTTCGAATATCAGTTAAATTATAGTAAAGTGATGCTGGCTACGAAAAAGAAGAAAGTAATAAAGTCGGTCTCAAGCTCAATAAATTATCTCTGAGAAGTTACCCTATAAAAATATGGATTCTGATATAAACAATACAACATATACATAAATCCTTGTATATCTATATACGCGTGTCAAGAATATGAAAGCCCGTTCAGTCTGAAGTCTAACATTTCGTATTTACGTGATCGAAACCGGGATTCATTTCCTTTGGGTTTCATTTTTACAACACTGCTTTTGGCGGTAATTTAGTTAAGACATATTATTATTAGCGTACATAGAGTGTAGCTTGGGAGGCTCTTGGTATGACGATTTAAAACGTAGACTGATAACCTTGAGAAAATTATTCCCTTTTTGGGAGAAGTCAGGAATAATTTTGAAGATCTCGCTCAGAACGCAAATCACATCGGCAGGGTAATATAATGTAAAACTTCCTCTCACTATTAAGAGATCTTTTTGCGTAGGAGAAAACCCACCGCAATTGCTGAATAATAATAACGAAAACTAAACATTAGGGAGTCGTATGGTGAATATAGTACACTTGATCAGGGTAACATTTCCTTCCGTCCGTCGTATATTATTGGAACGTTCGTAGTCGTAACAAAACTTAGATAAGTTCTTAATTGACGAGTGCAGAGAAGAAACTTGCGATTAATCTGTGACAAGGACTTTTAACATATGCTTAAAAGTGTCAAGTTGTTTTATTTATTAATGAGGTCTATTATGAAACTATATACAAGAGAAAGACAGTAGTGGGTACTAGAGTGGCAGCAAGATAAGCTAAAGATACAAAGGAAGAAAATACTTACTAAAAACATCCCAATTATCAGTGGGTAGATGAGCGCAATCAGCGATTAAAGACACAGCCAATAACCTATGCATTAAGATCTAGAAGCCTTAGCGGAAAAATAATGCGAACAACAAAAACACATCTAAAGTCAATACGTATTATAACACAACAAAAGGGAAAATTGACGTTAACGCAGCAGACGACGCATTCATTTCCTCTGTAAATGTAAAACTAATAGACGACCAATTGCTCTGTCCTACAGCTTTGTTGTCGTATACGCAATAGCACCGAGGGTCCTTTGGCTAAATATCAACCCTAAATGGAATCGTTCCAAATCGAAACTACGATGCAAGTTGTTCGACTTGACGTGATTTTTATTATTCCGGTAATTTTCATAAGTGACTCGGAGTTACATCGTGGTAATTCTTGGGTTCAGTTTAATCTAAAGGTTAATGCAAATATTTTGCAATACAATAATGACCGAACAGCAGATACGCTGACAGTTAGAGCATGAAAAAAAATTGTATTTGAACGAGTTCGAATTTTTTTATATCAAAGCAGTTAGCAAAGACTAAAAAAGACAATAAAAACTAAATTTCCATACCCTATAATATTGCGTGGGCGTGGCTGATTTTTTTCTGTTTTTGGAAATTTATATCCTGTGTCTGCTATAGCTTCTATCTGTATCTTATTTTTAAGTACCACACCACATCGCGATGTCCACGTCTTCCGTATGCTATTCCTGATCGATTATACTACTAAGAAAAAAAGGAACCTCCACGTCATGAGGGCCACCGTATTTATTTTAGACATATGATGTGTTTTCATCTAAATTCCTTACAGAATAATTTTCAACATTCTATCCTTTTTACCTTATAAAAAAAGAAGCAGAAAACAGCAAAAAAAATGAAAAGAATAAAAATTTGATCAATTACAACGTTGTATATGCACGGCCGATTTTTCCCGTATTTGTACAGATGCTGTAGGAACACCCAAATATAAATGCAATTTTTTTCGTTGCATCTACTTTGATTTAGAAATATCGGCTAGGAACCGAGCATATTTTTTTTTTACCCACCACCGAAGGATGGGCGGTATATTTGTTTTGTCAAAACGTTTGCAAAGTATATATATTCCTGATCAGCATCAAATTCGAATCGATTTAAGCATGTCCGTGCAAGGTCTGTTGTACACGCACAAAATTGACAGACACATTGGAAGTTCTTGGACGCGGCTTGGTATTGCAAATGGACCAAATCGGCCGAAAAACACGCCCACAGCCGCCACGTAAAATGAGAACACCTCTGTTTGTCGAAACGACTAAGAAATTACTCATTGCTCATAAACCATAGCAGATAAATGCACAAATATTTGACCGTATATTCAATGGGCAATGCTGCGGTACCTGTATAAAAATGGAAAAAACTGACCCCGCCTACCCAACATTATACCGTATCAATATTTCAGTTTTTTCAATATCTTTCTAAGAGGCAGAAACAGGGCCCAAAAACCTCATAAAATGTATAAATCCTTGCGTGGTCTCAAATTTGGAATGCGCCTAAAAATGTTCGTCTGTCCATCTTTTCATCTGCCCAACTGTGGGCAGATGTGTGGTAAATATTCTCCTGTTAGCGAGAATGGAGGTATTGCCTACAAATTTGCCAATGAATTTGAAATTGATCTAGACCTTTCAAAGGACACGGTTGTAACGCCCACGTCTCCACATTATAGGACGCGAAAATTTAATTCTCTTGGTGTTTTTTAAGATAACGATGATGGGTATAAGAGATTCGGTGAGGACCGAACATGATTTTTTTACTTGCTATTTTTCAAACATGAACAAACATGAAGGATTTCTCCATTGCTATGCATATTAAACAATCACTGATCAATGAATTTTTAAATAAACACATGTTTTCTCTTCGATTCTAAGACGAAAGTGATGCTTCTTTCCTTTTTAATAACAGTAATGATGGCAAGTAATGCTTGTGGACCACAATGTCAACGATTGTGGACTTGCAAATTCACTTTCTCTTTCATTGGTTTCGAGCATTTTGTGAGTTCTGTTCCA